CTATGTTGTATACCTGAAACTAATGTAATATTGTGTGTTAACTGTACTTGAATAAAATATAATAAAAATAAAATTTTAAAAGTGAAATAAAATTTGTAATTTGATGTTAGTTCTCTTATCGGTCCAAATAATCCCAGCTCGCTATACTAAATCAGAATCAAGGTCTTACCCATTCTCAAAGGGAACAAACACTGATTTAAAATAGTACTCTAGGGGCACCTGGGTGGCTCAGTCGGTTAAGCAGCCAACTCTTGCTTTCGGCTCAGGTCATGATTTCACGGTTCATGGGTTCAAGATCCACGTGAGGATTGTCTCTCTCTGCTCCCCCACCCCCCCAAAGTAAACAAACAACAACAAAAATACAGTTCTCTAGAAATAACAAGGGTCTGAATTAAGGGGATAAGTTTTGGAAAGGTACAACGGATGGTTCCCAGGGGTGGCAGAGGGTTTGAAACTCCAGGATGTGCTGCCTGAACAAGAACGAGACAGAATATACAGGAACAGAAGCAGATCTGGGCAATAAAGATACACATTCAACTACAGACACACTGGAACTGAGGCAAAGTCAAAACGCAAGGAATGTACTTCGTCCTGGAAGGGATGGTAGAACCCCTGACACTGAATGGTATTTGCAGGGAGGCAGCACAGACCAGAACCACCGTGACAATGGGCAGGGCCTGAGTCACAGCCACCCATGAGGGGCAAGCAGGAAAGATGGAACCCAGCAAAGGAATGTCACGCAGGCAGAAGTGCCAGAAACGATGGCATTCGCGGATCAAGTAAGGAGGAGAGCCGCGGAACACATGAGTGGTCAACGGGGCTCTGATTTTATCTTTGCAGAGAGAAAGTGAGCAGCTGTGTGCACGTGAGACTCAGTCACGTAGCAAGTCCGGGCGTACAATTTCTAAAGGAGTTGCCATATGCCAACTTGCCTCTTGCTCCGAGAAGCCCTTCAAAGAGGTCACTTATAAAACAGCAGCACAGTCATGGCCCAGATAATGCGCCTAGCCCTGCCTAGCTGGATCTTCAACAAGACAGAGACGCGAGCTGTAGCTAAGAGACCAGGGCTTGTCTGGAAAAGGCCGGTGGACTCAGGGGGGTGGCGGGCGGCAGGGATGAGACATTCAAGCTGCGAGAAGTACCAGGAACCACCGCGTGGCCAAGGTCTATTTCGCGTCGATTTTTAGACAATGCTGACAAATAAAATAAACCAACTTTCAAGTGGCCACTGGCGGGTTGTCTCCAATGCCTGTTAATTCAGGTAAAATCAAGGAGGGGCAGGGGGAGAAAATACACTTAGCACCAGACCTGGATTCCCAAACCCAAGATATCAAATTGACTTGAGTAGCAAGTTAGGAAGCACTCTGCTTCATGTTCGCTAGTTGTCAATGCTACCCTCCTCCTCTACCAGGTGAGCATTTATGAATTCCCGGGTAAAGATCCAGAAGGTGCTGCAATGGGCCTAGAAGGGCCCCAGCCACGTGTGCTCAGTATTAGCTTTAATATCAAAAAGGAGGAATGTTCCTGGTTTGCCTTGATGGGACTCTACTGGGAAGACATAAATAAAAGACCACATCAACATCAGCCTTTAGAATTTTAAGCCAAAATCTCTAATCTTTATCATCCCTACCTGTCAGGAACTGCTCGGCTCTTAGCAGGCTTAGTAAAAACAGACTGGCATTTTGGAATATTTTGTCTAATATTCCACTTTTACATTTCAATTCCTTGGGAAAACAAAAGAAACCTGTATGTTGGATCATTAAAAATAATACCATTTAAAACTAAATTTTATTCTAAATTAAAACGTACAAAAGAAGGGATTAGTCAGTGCTGTAAGAGATGTATGAAAAGATCCAGAACTTGGCTGAGACATGAAATTTGTAATCGGTATTAGTCCTACGGTTAGAATTATCAAGCTAGTCTAAACAAACTTAAATACCATCTATGCATCTAGCCACCACTGGAACTCTCCGAGCATCCGCTCCAAATCCCTGCACACGGTTTGAGGACTGCTCATGTTAGGACCCCACGTAGCCATGGTTATTTCTCTGTTCGAGGGGACCTTCACCCCCTGGAAATTCCTCTTCTTTTGAGATTAACAAAACCCGGACTAGTGAGACGTGGAGGCTGTAGGACAGTTCTGTGGTGTGGCTTCTTCCCCCGTAACCTCAGCCTGTGGTTCTCGTTAGCGACATCTTGATGGATGCCATGACTGAATTTGTAAATTATAGATTAAAATCTGAATCAGGTGTGTAGAACAACAACAACAAAAAGGAACCTCTGTAAGACACATGCGCTGAATGGCACATGGTGCATTGTAAACGAGCATCAGATTTGCAAACCTGGAGAGGAGACAACCTGGGGTAGCTAGCAACTGAGTCCAGAGCTAATCCCCTAGCTGCCTTGTGGGAGGGGGTGGGAGGGGGTTCAGGGGAGAGCAGGAGCCCAATCATGAGGTCATTCAAAACAGATAGAGGCAAGCAAGTTTCTAGAAAGATACACTCTTTAAAAAGCCATGGATGTTGACCATAATTTCATCTTAAATTCACAATTTACCCAAATTGATCTGTTGTGATTGGATTTAGATTCTGCGCAAGCTTATTGTCTGCAATAAAGATCTTCAAGGAGCACCTGGGTGGCTCAGTCAGTCCAGTGTCCGGCCCTTGATTTCGGCTCAGGTCCACGCCCCACCCCATCGGGCTCTGTGTGCTGATAGGGCTAAGCCTGCCTGGGATTCTCTCTTTCTCTCTCTCTCTCTCTCTCTCTCTCTCTGTGCCTCCTCCACTCAGACTCTTCTGTCTCTCTCTCAAAATAAATAAGTAAACTTACAAAAATTTAAAAAATATCTTCAAGTATTTTATTCCTGTGGGCAAGTTTTAAAAAGTGGTAGAAAAAGTTGCTCATTGCTAATGACTGAATGTGTGCGTCCTCCCAAAATTCATACTGAAGCCCTGATCTTCAAAGCAATGATATTTCGAGGCGGGGCTTTTGGGAGGTCATTAGGCCGTGAGGGTGGAGCCTCCATAAATGGGATTAGTGCTCTTTTAAAGAGACACAACAGAGATGATCTGTTTCCAGCGTGTGAGGACACAGCAAGGAGTTGGTCATCTACGGAGAATGAATGAGGACGAGGACACTCACCAGAAAACAAATTGGCTAGCACCTTGATCTTGAACTTCCAGCCTCCAGAAGGGTGAGAAATAGATTTGTAGATTAAGCCCTCCACCCCCACCCCACCTATGGTATTTTCTCATGGCAGCCTGAACTAAGACACCAGACACAATTAAAGGACAACAAGAGTGCCATCAGAAACCCTCAGAAGCTCGCTACAAATCATTATAAACACAAGGAAGCAAACCCCACCTTGTTAGGGCCTTGGTTGTGGGAAGGTCAGAATGCTCAGGCTGAGGCCCCTGCTCTGTACCGACCAGCCTCATCTCCCTTCGCCACCTCCACCCCCAGGTACGGATGAGGGACTCAACAGCCGCCTGGAGTTCCAAGATGACTCTATTCTCCGTGGCAGAGTCAACCAGAACACTTATGAAGAAAAACTAGGGAAACTTCTGGAAAGGTCCAGTTCACTCATTCCTCACCTTGCTACACATCCAGCCCTCTGTGGGGCATTAAGGATAAAAATGGCAGAAACCAAGACCTGATTTCTTCTTATGCTCTAACGAGCAAGACACACACTGCAATGGTACTTCTGTCTTCTCTTAAAAAACACCACAAACTTGAACTCCCAATCCCTTAGGATACCATATCAATCCTCTCTCTTCCAAGCCTTATTCATCATGGATGTTCCACCTAACTTCCTTCCTGCTCCTGACCATAGAGGCACTCATGGCCTCCTTTGTCAATCCCACAGTGACATCCCTGTCCTTACCTGACAACACAGGGGCACTGCCCCCAGGTGACCACTCCTGTACCTTCGCTGTTTCCCTCGTCCTGAAAGGCCAGGTCTTTCTCCTTAGTCAGCTATCAGCTTAAATGTCACCTCCTGGGAGAGACCAACCCTCAACAGCCAAGGATGGGAGCCCCCCGCCTCTTGCTAGCCCGTGGCTCTATTCATATTCACAGCATAAGCTAATCACTCTCTCGGTCCTTCCCCTCAGCGGCTGGCTGATGTTATGTTGTCCCCAGGAGAGCAGGATGTTGCCAGTCTGTTCACCATCTGACTCATCAGTGCTCATACGAACCACAAAATAGTAAAAATTCAATAAATGTTGGTGACTTCCCGAATAAAATCAACCAGTAGTGGGTATGAGATATTATAAACAACAAAAACAATAAAAACTGTGTTCTGTGAGAAAGGGGTCATTGGACAGGGCACTGGACAGAGGATGTAAGGATGGGGGCAGGCTCCGTGGTGAGGGGACTCTGCACGGGAGGACCTGAAGGCAAGGAAAAGCTGAACAGGTGTGCAGACTGAGACACAGTCACTGAGGCTGGTCTCAAGCACCCTTTCTGTGCCAGACGCCTGCCTCCAGTACCCAGTTACCTTGGAAACTGGACATGTCTAGCTGTCATCTATAATCTGAGAAATAGTGTTGCCGGTTTCTCTTCAAAGTATTTTGTTGTTTATGCCTCCAAACATATTCTTCAAAATTCTTCTATCTACATCCTACACCAGGAATATCTTGCGAGCACTGTTTGAATCCACTGAAAATCATTATGACAATCCCAGGATAATATTGCACCCAACAATGCCCTCCGATTGCATTGTCTTAAACTATACAAAGGAAAATGGTCTTGCCAAGAAAAGCCTTATTTTATGAGCACTTAAGAAACGACAGTTAAGAAACCAGGCGCTGTCTTCCCAACTAAAATTATGGCCAAGGTAATGTAAAAAGAGTGAAATTAAGTTCCCTACGAGAAACACAGAGGATGACGAAGACAAGGTTGGTTCGTGGGTTTTGCTGGGTGACAAAGAAGACCGACTTGCGGCTGGACATAGAAATCTCATGCTTAGGAAACTCTTCAGGGGAGGCGCCAACTCCTACCTGTGGCCAGATAGATGATGTGGACGAGCATGTCCCTGCCCTGCACCACGTCGACGGCCACGTGGGAAAAGCGGCTGTTGTCCTCCATGAAAGAGGGCACCGAGGTCACAGGCTGGACCACCTCGTGCATCAGGATGAACTTCTGAGCATCCTGCAGATTCCTTTCGGTCAGGTTCATGTACAGGCCCTGGTCCACCGTGCCACACTGCAAGGGAAAACAGGCCGTTACGGGGACCGGCCACCTGGACACGCACAGCTGATCCTGGCCACCCCGGCGGGAGGGGGACTCGGAAGGTTAAGATTGTCAGTGTGCAAACATGTGTGCTTCTCTGCTCTCTCCAAGGTCCCCCCTCCCTTGGGCCCCTCCCATTCTAGATTTAAACTCATCACATCTGGGGAGTCTCTCAACTCCATTACAGAAATATATGATCAGATGTTAAAAATTAATCCGGTAGAAATCAGTGCTGACTTTAATCTGAACGCATAGGAATGAAAACTCCCCATCACGTGTTGAAGTTACATAGAAGCTGTCTGGCCAAGTGCACACTACTATATCTGCCTGTAAATCAGGTGCCAAAATTGAAAATGCAGCAGTCGAGAACATCATATAGCTCTATTACTATCCCTACTGGAACGGTGGGTCTATAAGCAAGATATGGATTCCACGGAGATAGAATTAGGCCATTTTAATCTGTCAATTAAGTAATATTATTCCAGTAAATTTCACATGGGTACAAGGTACTGGTGGCTTTATTGCCTTGTGCTCATTCTCTAAGCCAGAGGGAGGGAGGAAGGGAGAAGTGGAAAGAGGAGGATAAAGGAAGAAACCAGGAAGAAGAAGGGAAGGAAAGAGATGTTGAGACAGAGGAGCCACCATGAACATGAATCTGGTATATAAAAGGGGGGGAAAAATCAGGCCCGGCAATGCTGAGAAGGGAATCCAGAGCTGGGCTGTGGAGAGACGGGCAGGTACCTGTGCAGGATGGTTTGGGGCAAAGATAAAGCAGACAGCAGGATGGGAAAGGGAGAAAAGCTTTCCTGGGGCAGAGCACACAATCAGAGAATCCCCACCGATCTTTCTCAACTCTTTCCGAAGCTTGAATCCTGGGGCCAACAAAGACTAACCCCCAGCAGAACTTCCCATAAGCAAGTTTGATGGAAACAGATTTCCCTGTCCATACCATCTGAGATTGCCGTTGATAACACGTCATTTCTAATACTTGGTTTTATCACAGGTTACAGGGGGAAAGTGTAAGATGGAAACTGCTTTTTAAAAATAGATGAGGGGCGCCTGGGTGGCTCAGTCGGTTGTGTCCGACTTCAGCTCAGGTCATGATCTCCTGGCCCGTGGGTTCGCACCCCGCGTCGGGCTCTGCGCTGACAGCTCAGCGCCTGGAGCCTGCTTCCGATTCTGTGTCTGCCTCTCTCTGCTCCTCCCCCACCCATGCTCTGTCTTAAGAAAGAAAAAGAAAAAATAAAATAAAAATAGGTGATAGTTTTTTGTAGCACTTGATAAAAATGCCCTACATGCTGTAAAATGATAAGCCGGTTGTAAAATTAGAGAGTGTCCGAAATGGATCCCGAGTCTTGTCCAATGTGCAATGTCCCATTTCCTTGCAGGGACAGTCCCTATGCCAGGCGATGGGTCCACAGGTGATGGGATCACGGCCAGGTGAAGGGCTCCGTGCTGCTGCCCCAGGAGCCATGCGGTCTCAAGTAAGATGCTGCTTCTCAGCTTCTGTCTCTACCTATAAAGTAGCTAGAAAAACACTTGCTCTATTCACTTCCCAGGGCAGTTGTGAGGCCAGCTGAGATCATCAGTGGAAGGCATTTGTAAATTAATTGAAAGTGCCTGTAGATGCCAAGGAACAAAACAGTGTGCCTGGCACAGAGAAGCCATTCAACCAATGGCAAATCTGTCTTGTAGCAGGACAGCAATTCTATGGTGCACTGGGCTTCAGTGGCCAGAGGGAAATGCATGAATAAGTAAAGGAAGGAATCAATGGGTGAATACACAGGCAGCTGCTCATGGGACAGGGGGCTGTGCTAGGAGATTTCACATCGTCATCATATTTAACAGTAGCACTTAAGGGACAGGGACGTTGCCTGTTAACAAATGTGTTACCAAATGAAAGTACTCTCCCAGACTCCGTCTGAGGTCTACCCAGGTGAGCTCTGGCTCTGAGAGTGACTTTGTGTTTGCCAGATTGCTCTTCCTGAAACCGATGACGGTGCTTAAGCATAGGTGGCACTTAGTTACCTACTTGTTGGGTGAAGTTTAACACACAGGTTTTGTGTCTTAGGCACAGTGTGTGGTTTTTGTTATTGTTGTTGTTGTTTAATGCATCGCAGAAATCAGGAGTCATAACACAAAACTGAGGACCTTGTGCTGCTCTCGAGGAATCTGGGGGTCTGCAAGAGCCTGGGGGCCTCCTTGGACTAGAGCTGGGTAGTAGGACCACTGACCTCCCCTTATCATTTTTTTTTTTTTTACCCTGGACCCCATATCTTAAGTCATCAACCTGAACTGCCATTGTGATATTGTGACTCGTAAGAAATACATATTTGGTTTTTGTCCTCTTTCTGACACACAGCTCCTAAAACCATGGGAATTTTTTAAGTGTCAAGAGCAGTAAAGGTGCCTTTTGTCATGTTAACGAGGCACCTCTGGGCCAGTTGGCTAGAGACCCAATCACATAATTAGAAGATAGGGAACTTTCAGCCCACCCCTGACCTCCAGGGAGGGGAGAGGGGATGGAGACGGAGTTCAATCACCAATAACCAATGATTCAATCAATCTTGCCTATGTAAGGAAGCCTCCGTAAAACCCCAAAAGACACAGGGTTCAGATGGTCTCTGGGTTGGTGAACATGTGGAGATTTAGGGCTCAGAGAGGGCACGGAGTAGCTCTGCGCCTTTCCCCAGACCTGGCCTGGTGTATCGCCTCCAGAGTTAGGTCATTTCATAACAAACCAGTAATCTAGTCAATAAAATGTTTCTCTGAGTTCTGTGAGCCCCACTAGCAAAGTAATTGAACCCAGGGCAGCGATCATTGGAATTTTCCATTGGTAACCAGAGGTTCCGAAGCACAGGTGAGGAACTGGACTTCAGATCAGCACCTGAAGTGGCAAGAGGTGGGGCAGAAGGCTTGTAGAGCTGACCCTTGTACCTGTGAGATCCGATGCTCTCTCCTGGTAAATAGTGTCCGAATTGAGTTGAATGGTAGGACACCCAGACGGTGCTGGGAAATTACTTCACGGTACGGGAAAAACTACCACACATCGGAACTGGGTAACAACATCGTTGGCCAGGAACTAATTTTGAACTCTGCTCTACAACGTCTTGGTTTATTTTTCCAGCCTATAATAAATATCTCACCCAAGGATTCTTTCTCATATTTTGAAAGCTATTTAGATTTACAGTATATATTTATTGGGTCGTAAGTAACCCATCTAGCTCTCTAATGCGCTGCAAATTCTCTAGCTGTGCCTCACACACTGGGTTCCCGCAGGTGTCTCTGTGACACCTTGGGGACTCCGTGCAAGAGGGTAACAAGACAAATGTCACGGTCCTCAAGTGGGTTACAAACCACAATGGTTGTCTTGCTACCACTTCTGAAAGTAAAAAAGACAGTCATTCGACTAATTTTTTTAATGCTATAATACTTGCATTTTTGTTTGTTGCAGAGACAATAGATGCCATCCTCTTTCCAGTTTGCTGGAGTTTTGTGCAGCTCCACAATCACCCGGCCTTGTGCTCAGAGTGCCCGATCTGATTGGCTCTCTTCTTCCCATCTTACTGCAAACGTGCGCTGTGTATCACAGGGTCCCGAGGACCTGGTCAACCCCTTCATTTGGCCCAAGAATGACCTCCTCATCTGTCTGACCATTTAAGGGTCTGTTTTCCATTCTGGCTCCATCATTTCTGATTGGTGGTTGTCAAAAACGCACAGAAAATTGCGGAGTCTGTCCACTGGGTCTGGATGGTGTTTCCTGTTACCGACCAATGCTGTTTTCCTAGTGAAGTTCAGGGCCAAGATGACTTGGACCGCAGGCTCTAACGGGGTAGGTTTCCATAGAACTACTTACGGTGGTTTCTAGATTGCAACTATAAAAACGCTATCTTTTGCTGTTTTGTTATTGTTCTCAATTGAGGTTTACATCTTGCAAAATGAGGCACTGTCCTTCCCGACCCATTCTTCTTCCTGAACCTGAATCACATTTCTGTTCCTCCAACTAACTTGCTAGTTCTTATTATAAATGCTGCATAAAATTCCAAATGTCACTAGGCAAACAAGAATGGAAAAAATTGAACCACTTCTCACTGGTGGTTACTGCAAACATAACGACTAGTGGAAGGATCCTTAATTCAAAATGTATTCCCACCCTGTGCCAGCTACATCGTCTCATGAATATCAGTAAGGATGCTAATGCTATCATGGTTATCAAATACGATAAACCAAAAGAAAACCATTGGTACATTTTTGTACCAGAAAATATACAAGGAATTGTCGTCATCTAAAATTTGAGTTCCCCTGGGGCGCCTGGGTGGCTCAGTCGGTTGAGCGTCTGACTTCGGCTCAGGTCACGATCTCACGGTTGACGAGTTCGAGCCCCGCGTCGGGCTCTGTGCTGACAGCTCGGAGCCTGGAGTCTGTTTCGGATTCTGTGTCTCCCTCTCTCTCTGACCCTCCCCCGTTCATGCTCTGTCTCTCTCTGTCTCAAAAATAAATAAACATTAAAAAAAAAATTTTAAATTTTAGTTCCCTGTAAATCTTAAATTCTACCCTAACAAGTTAAGCCCAGCTAAGCAAGCTTCCTGCCTGAAATGCATGTCACATTTGCGCAAGCTTCATTTGTTATATGGCATGAACCTACTCCCATCTCATAAACGTGAGTAAGCCTCTCCGTGTGACACTGGCATTATAAAACCAGAGGCCTGTGGCCTTAGGAAACGAGAGATTTTGCTGTGTGCTACAAATATGTTCAGACAAAAGGGCTAAAAGTTATCCACTGCCTGGAGGTGGTAAGGCATCAGGGGTTTATTAAGTCACTGTTCATTATGAAGACTTTTGCAATAGAAACATCAAGGCATTAAGAGTACACTGTAAATAAAGGGAGCATCTTCGTTAATTGTTTTTCACCTTCAGGACTTTACAAAGCACCTTCTTAAGAGCAATGATATATTCCACCTTCAGGATTTTACGGAGGGCCTTCTTAAACAGTTACGCTGTACCCCATCATCTGAGGACAGGGAGAAATTCAGATGGAGACTCAACAAAGGGGCAAAGCATCAATGTTCAGTTAATAATGACATAAACTGTCTATGCCATAGGAGCCGTGGTCACTTCAGGTTTGGTTCCCACTAAGCTGTTAGCCGCTTGACCTGTGATATGAATCTCTTTGTACTGAACCAGTACTGAATTTTCTGAGTAGCAGGGCTAGGGTAATACATATAAATTGGTTACTCGGTTTCCTGACTTCTAAAGCATGGATGACGATGCCTACCTTACAGAGCTGGGGAGAGGAGACAGCAGGGCAGGTATATAAAGCATTGACACAATGTGGGACCCCAGAAGGCACCCAGTGAATGGTCCCTAAGAGTCACCTTCTCCAACTACATTCTACAGTCAGCAAGACACATTAATCAATATTACCAAAGTTTATTCCTAAAATATTCCTGTGCCTTCGTATCCCACTTTCCTCATCTTATTGATGAGAACAAGAGACAGAAGATGCTAACAGAATGCCCCAGTAAAGCAGCAAAATGGGAAAGAGGTTGTAAAAACCACCCATCTGTCCCCAATCCCATGCTCTTAAATTACCAAAAATTTGATTAAAAAAAATTCTTTCAAAACAGTTACAATTGAACAGTCCCTGCCAAAGTCCAAGGAAGGTATAAAATAATTGAACCCTTTCTGTACTCCTAGTTTTCTCAAAAGCCAAAAGTTTTAGGTGTTGGGATGATCAACCAACCAGAACGTGGATGCCTGGGTACAGAACCCAGTTCTAACTTGGATTAGTTACCATAACTAACTAACGGTCTTTTAGCCAGAAGAGGGTGGGGCTTTGCATCTGAGGACTGGCGTTGAGATCTCAGCTCAGCAACTGATCAGCCAGTGTCCTTGGCCTGACTGAATCTCTGCCCGGAGGCTTGGCACCCCTCTCTGTCTGCAGGAGAATTTGTTACTGATCCCAACACCGTTGCCAGTGGGCAACATGATGAGCACAGAGTCTTGAACGTGGCGGTACTAAAAATTACACGCACGATGACGACGACAATGATCGTATGAGCATCCGTGTCAGAAGGGAGGCCCTAGAGGGAAGCCTGCTGCTGCGGTCTGAATGTTTGTGTCTCCCCCAAATGCATATGTTGAACCCCCAACCCTCAAGGTGGCTGTCTTTGGAGATGGGGCCTGGAAGGGAGTAATTAAGGTTCAGTGGGTTCACAAGGGTGGGGCCTTGATCCCACAGGATTAGGGTCTCTCCCCAGTCACTGAGGAAAGGCTACGTGAGGACACAGTCAGAAGGTGGCCATTTTTAAGAGAGGAAGCGATTCACCAGAAACTGAATCAGCCAGAACCTTGATCTTGGACTTCCAGCCTCCAGAACTGTGACGAAACATACGTCTGTCATTCACACCGCCCAGTCGGTGGTATTTTGTGATGGCCACCTGAGCAGACTAATACACTTGCTGATGGACCAGACATGAGGAAATCACATTTCTTTTGGTCCCAGCTTCTTCTGAACATCGGAAGATGAGAGAAAATGACGTGGAGCCCCTTATAGCTCAAACATCCTGCAATTTTGTGATTCGTGAGCTAATGGCCACCACCTGCTCTGCTTCCCCCAGCTGCACCATCACGTCCCACTCACCCCGACAGGAAATCTCCCCACGTTCACCAATTAGTGCTCTAATTCTGTTTGCGCGTCTCCACTGCTCTGTGCCCTGGGCTCCATTCACTACGGCGTCATTCATTAGGGATCAGAGCTTCTGGGGACACAGGGTCCGCCATCATTAGCACTAATTGAAGCTTGGCTTCCCAGCCTGCTGCTTTATTCTGGCCTTTTTCAGCTCAGTCTCGGCGTCCCAGCTGACAAAAGGCCCCTTTTCGGCCCGGGGCACCTCAGCGGACAAAAGGCCTCGGCCATATTCCATGAGCCAGGCTGAGCGTGGGCACGTCCGTGAGGGTCAGGGGAGACCCCAGCTGCGTTGTGCATGTACCCAGCTTTACACTGTCCCAGGCTGTCTACACAAGAGGAATGAGTGCCTTCCCCACCCCCCTGAAATTACCTGGAAGTTGGGGTTGGGGTTGGGATACGGCAGCCAGGCGGAGCGCGAGTTCTCCTGGTACTTGAAGGGCCCGTTGAAGGCCTGGGAGACGGCACTCAGGTTGAAGACACACACGGCCGACGCAGCGATGCTGTTCCTGGGGGGAGGGGGAGGGAAGAGAGAGGAAAGGGGGCAGGTCAGAGTCCTGCGGGGACCCCTAGCGCAGGCACCTTCCGGAGAACCTCAGGATCACAGTGTCCTAAGTCCCCCCCAACAGGGATGAAGCCAAAGCAGTGACTGATGTCACTCTGTGGTCTCCTTGTGGGAGAACAAACACTTGGGTGCAGAAACAAGACTATTTAGCAGTTATGACACTTCTAATCCTGCCGGATGGGATTAATTCACTCAGCCGCAACAAGAGGACAGAGGGTTGTGAAGAGCCGTATGTCAGGCCTTTTAAAAACAGGAGGAAAAAGACGTTCTCCTCCGGGGGCTGGAGCCTCTCAACGGTCCGGGTGGCTCTTGTCCCAACTGTTCATCTGGTTCTTTCAGATGGCGGCGGGCAAACTGTGGCTGCTGCTTCTTTTTGTTAGATCCCCAGAGAGTGGTGTCTGTTTGCAAGCCTTTCAAAAATAATCAACCGAAAGCATTTTGCAAAAAGTCCCTGTCAGAGACCCTTCATTTATGTACATTTTTTTAATTCGAAAAGCATTTTAAGTCCGAAGGGTCAGAGAGAAAAATTTGACATGGCACTGACATAGGAAATCTCGAAACCTTAAATCAGAGTTCAGGCTCTGCCGAGACAGCTGTAAATGAGAGGCTCTCAGGAGTCCGGCGCCCTTTTGCTAACTGTGGAAACAGCAAAATATGGTCTGGTAAAAGAAATCTGCTTTTTTCGAGCACGGCTCGGGTTTTTGCTGTCTGTGAGCCACCGTTTTTAGACACCCGGGAACACAATGGTAAAACCTTCAGCGACTCCACGCGGTAGTAAGTAGGCCATTTCCTGCAGCCCAGCTCATGGCCAGGGGGTGAGAAAACCACCCAGTCCTAGGGCAGAATGAGCGAGGGGAGCGACCTTCATCCCCACTCCCCAGTGCTAAGAGACCTTGATGAATATACAGAGGCAAAGCAAACGATGAGCAGCAACACCAGAGAGCTGAGCCACAGCATGATGTACTCATCCACTGCTGGCTGCCTCCCATCATCATTTTCTTTGGTTTGGAGCAAGTCTTGTCAAGAATGTGGTCATCTGTCCAGAAGGTAAGACCAAGGCTGAGACATGAGAAGGAAGAGAGGTGGGGCGTATGGTGGAACTAGAAATGGATGGATCCGAAAGTTCTTCCCAAGACCTGGTGAGAGTAAGTGTTCGAGACAGAAAGGAAAGATCTAGTGATTCTATCTCTAATATAGATAAATGATAGATAGGTAGATAGACACATAGATGATAGATAGATTGATTGATAGATAGTAGATGATAGATGATAGATAGATAGATAGATAGATAGATAGATAGACAGATATAGATAGATAGATAGATAGATAGATAGATAGATAGATAGATAGACAGATATAGATAGATGCTATATACTGGGTGATGTCCAATATGATGGACACTTGCAACACTAAACAAATCGTCTGGAATAGTCTGAAACTTATTTTTGCGAGTGTCTAAATTGACCATTGAATAGTCCAGACGCAGTATTTCCATAACTTTTTAAATTGTCTTTGCCCAGAGCCAGGGGAATGAACAGCTAAGTAAGCCCAGCTCCCATTGTGTGTAAAATTGATGTCAAGTCAGCAACTGAACATTCATCTTGCGCAGCCGACGCGATTTCTTAAACCGGGTTTTGGAAAGCAAATCAGCTTCAGAAACTATAAATTGATTTTTTAAAAGAAACGTATCAAGGAGGGAAAATAAGCTCTGGGGTTGAAAACCAGATTTACAATGAAGGTGGTCATGGTGGGGTGGGGGTGGGTGGGGCGCCATCCATTTCAGGCTTCTTCTAACTTCATGTCAGAAAGAAGACTCTTCACGGAGTAAATGTTATTATCGAGTGACTGTTAACACTTAAGCTCAGCAGGGGAGAGGACAGAGGGAAAGAGTAACATGGAAGGAAGGAGGAGATCAAGTGGTTCTACAGCAATTGCTGGGTAGGCATCCTCGATTCTCCCAGGACCCCGGGGTTTCCCTGGGATGCAGGACTCGTCTAGATGCTGAAGCTGGGACGATCCCAGACAAGCCAGGATGGCTGGTCATCCCACACTCTTTATCAGCACTTTTAAACTGCCTTGATTCCATTTTTTCTGCATTGTTAAGTTGCCAGAATAGAGACTCAAAGATGGTCCGAAGCAGAGTCCACACTGCGGACCACGGTTACCACTGAAAGGGGGCCCAGAGTCTGAGTATGAAAAGGGGATCTGTCACCCCTGGGGGCGGGATGTGATCCTGTTGAATCTTTCACTGCACACCAGCAAAGAATGGGAAATAGATGTGGGTCACGCTACAACTCCACCAGAGTAAGAGTGAACGAAAGATCAGGAAACTTCACATGCTTTCCCTTATCCAAAATTTAGCAGTTCTGGAGCTAGGAGTATCACCTCCCACAAGAAAAACAAAAAGATGTTATCTTTTTTTCAAGGATATTTTTAAAGTACAGTCATCATTTTAGAAAAGCCTGCCCAGGTTAGCCGTCTCCTAGAACAATGGTTGAAAATGTAGCTACGGGAAAGTGACAATGTGCATTTCACTTACGACCGGAGGTGTGGGCACGAAATATACTACTCAAAGATCAGACTCAGAAAACACTGCCTTCATTGTGCCCAAACGCGTAACTGCATATGGAAAAAAAATGCGTCTAATATGTACCAGCATTTCAGACAGTGCCCAGAACACATTGGTGAATCAGGAAGGAGAAAATTACAGTCCGGTAACTTGATGCTACAATTACCTAAGGACAGATTGAAACTTTTTTTGCTTCACTTTATTTCCCGAATACCAAGTCTCAGAAATCACACTGTATTTGCATAATATTTAATTCATACTCAAACATTTCTTTGGCCGTTGGCCCAGTAAAATAAGAAAGATTTCCTTTAAAGCAACTTTCCAACTTCTCAAAGGTCAAAGAACAGCAGACGCATGCACCATGGACAGAGGAGCAGGGAAAGAATTTTCTTCCAGTTACTTACACGTTGGTGGTAAAGATGCCATAGATCAGATCCAGCTCGGGCAGGAAGAAAGTGCTCTGCAGTTCGTTGTAGTAAAAGGGGACCTCCCCAGGCCGGGAGCAGTTCAGGCGAGCCTTCATGAACGTGGTCCAGGTGTCCTCCAGTAGGAACCGCCCCCCGATGTCATTCTTGCAGACCCGGGCAGCTCTGGAGAACACGGTTTTCCCACAGTCGTGCTCCACGGCGTTTTCTCGGAAAAAGAAGTAGGTGAAATTTCCGATGTCGTAAGATGACACGAAGTTTGGTTCTGGAGACAAGAGGGAAGAAGAAAAGTGTGAACATTCATATGGTATCTCTGTATGTCTTACCTCCTCAGTGTTTTTTCCAAGGACACATGCTTTTGTGCAGACAATGCCTGGCTCCTAAGGGACGAACGAGAGCCCCATGAGCAGCTCGGTGACCTGTGCTAAGGACAGAACACTGTACACAAGTCCTAAGTGGCAAGGAATCGCCCACACGATTCCACACATAAGCATCCTGAGTTAACACAGCACCCAGTCACAGGACGCTAATGCCATCAAAACTGGGCAGCAACTTTTGCAATAGACTTTTAAAGCAACATATACTAGTTTATTTGTATATCGTGACATGCTCTTCAGAAAGAGTGGGACGGGGGCGCCTGGGTGGCTCAGTAGGTTGAGCGTCTGTCTGACTTTGGCTCAGGTTATGATCTCACAGTTCCTGGCTTTTTGTCCCATGTCGGGCTCTGCACTGACAACCTCAAAGGTCAAAGAACAGTAGACTCAGAGCCTGGAGCCTGCTTTGGACTCTGTGTCTCCCTCTGTCTCTCTGCCCCTCCCCTGCTTGTGCACTTTCTCTCTTTCTCTCAAAAATAAATAAATGTACAAAAAACGAAAGAGTGGGAGAAAATGAGATGAAAAATATGCAATGCGATTCAGAACATAGGAGCACCATGGTACCCTGTTTGTGTACAAGACAACAAAATTCTTTGATCTTACTCGTACACGGGAGTATGACCGACATAATTTATGTGCTTTTTTAGCGAGAACTTTAAGATGGTTTTCATTTGTGAAAACTGAAATAAAAACTGAAACTATCAGCTTAGTGTCCTGAATTAGCTTTAGCAATTCCAGTTACTATGGTGACCATGTAACTGTGAGAATCGACTCTGATTTTCTCATTTCTGGGTTGCTGGAGAATCCATATAGAAGAGCGGAGTGTGTTGAGATGGGGTCACTGCCTTCCAGCTTCCTGGTCTCATAATTAGCTTAAAAATAGGGATTCAGAAAGGACAAAATTATGGCAAAACCTTTACTCAATCGCCAAGCTCATGAAGAGTTTAAGAGTCCTATAGTTTGTCAACCGAATTTCATATCTACCCTTCACAGTGTTATGTTCATAGCTTCTTGTTTGAGCCCATTGATGATAGAAATGATATCCTTTCAGACACGGACACACCTTAACATTTATCTTTATACAAATTCTAATAATCAAGTTTGATTCTTACCCTTTTTTTTTCAATATATGAAATTTATTGTCAAATTGGTTTCCATACAACACCCAGTGCTCATCCCAAAAGGTGCCCTCCTCAGTTCTTACTCTTTCCTCTATTGCTAGGAGCTTACTATTCAATTAGCCAGTGTCTCAATTTTATAGGGCCATTAAGATAATATGGCGATAAACCTTTGCGTTCAAAATAAATGGAAAGATACACACAACAACTGTATCCACAGGGACATATTTCAGGGACAGTTAGTTTGGGGAGGGGGCAATTCAACTGGCCTTGGACTTTGCCAGATCCAATTAGATTGTTCCAGCAGACATGTTACCGGCACGACGACTGAAGTATGTTTGGCCACAAGCCAACCCATTACTAGTAACAGTAAGACACACAGCAGGCCCACCTCCAATGTGCAATGCGGACACTGATTGAGAGGTGGCATTGACTACACTACCATCCTGTCCAGAAAGCTGTCGCCAGTTTTCAAGTAACACATATATTGGATATCACCCCCGAAGGTCTCACTTTAATTCAACTTTCCATTGTAGAGCTGTCACAATATTCTTTAAGTTGTATAAGTTGTACACGCAACGTGCCCTCCTCCCCAGTCCATGATATTGTTAAGTCATTTAAGCACATGAAGTAATAAAGAACTCAAAAAGAACTGATTTTCATTTATAAACTGCCAAACACACTATTATGTTACAGCTGCTTTAACCTGAAATGGATAGAAAGAAAACTGGACTGCATTGCAATGTGGGAGATGGAACTCAGTTACATCGTCTGTGCGGTATGCTTTAATACCGGAGAGAGATGCTCACAAAGCAGGAGGATACACATCTCTGACCGGTGTTCTGGGAACACACAGCCAAATATTGGGGAGCTTTTTGAATCTGTGTTCACCGAGGCTCCAAAAGAGAATTACTCATTGAAGGAGACCCCAAAAGCAAAGATATGGAACAAGTGCCAAACTGTATTTGGTTTCTTTTTTTTTTTTTTAATTTTTTTTTCAATGTTTATTTATTTTTGGGACAGAGAGAGACAGAGCATGAACGGGGGAGGGGCAGAGAGAGAGGGAGACACAGAATCGGAAACAGGCTCCAGGCTCTGAGCCATCAGCCCAGAGCCTGACGCGGGGCTCGAACTCACGGACCGCGAGATCGTGACCTGGCTGAAGTCGGACGCTTAACCGACTGCGCCACCCAGGCGCCCCTGTATTTGGTTTCTGAAGAAAACATTCACCCATATGTTTAATTCGAAAGGGAAGACTCAATCGTTTCAGAACGCGTCCTGCACCCAGGCACTCCAACCAGGTGGTACGGTTTGATCGTTGTACTAAAAACAAAACAAAAAAAAGCATCGTCCCGATCATCATCGTCAACAACAAGGACCACAAAGCTTACCTAAAATGGAGAAAACAGGGGCGCCTCGGTGGCTCAGTCAGTTAAGCGTCTGACTCTTGGTTTCGGCTCAGGTCATGATCTCACGGCTCATGAGTTCAAGCCCTGCCTCGGGCTTTGCGCTGACGGTACGGAGCCTGCTTGGGATTCTCTCTCTCCCTCTCTCTCTGCCTCTTCCCTGCTCATGCTTCCCCTCTCTCTCTCTCTCTCTCTTTCTCAAAATAAATAAATAAATAAAAGATAAATAAAATGGAGAAAACAAAGAAAGAAGGTGGAGGACTGGATGTGTCCAGTCTAGGGCCACAGTTACTAACACATGTGGATGAGGTTGGGCAAAGTCCACAGGATTTATGAAAACACCCTCACGGAGACCTACTCCTGCTACTGGGCAAAACAGAATGGAAACCAGAGTAAATGTCCCTAGAAGACCTGAGCAAGAAAATGAGAAGAGACAAAGGTAAAAGTGACCTTTCATGGTTTCTTCCAGTCAAGGTTGAGTCTATTAATCTTAAAAAACAGCTACAGAATGCTAAGGCTCCCATGCCAGGCTCTGTGCTTGGTTCTTCATATTCCTCTGCTCATTCAACTCACAAAAACCATAGAGGTAGGTGCTGTGTTATTACGCATTGGTAATCTGTCCAAGCTCACACAACTAGCAACGGGCATGGGGTGGGGGGTTATGTCCTGGATCTGGACAGTCTGACCACAGAGCGTAGGCACTTACCATTACACTACACTGAAACAAACAAACAAACAAACAAAAACAATGGGCTACGAGGGAATAATTGACTCTGCATTAACCGTATTCAAGAATAAAAGTTAGTGTTCTGGAAAATGCTTTAGAAACCAAAGCGGGGAGCAGGTTTTCTCAGAAAGACAAATGCCCAGATGAAACTTACCCTGCAGCTATCAGGGACATCAGGAATGACACAGGGAAGGAAAAGCAGGAGGAAGGAGGCAACAATCCAAGGGCTTATTAAGCAAGAATCCTGCTGGGAAGCGTTTGTCCGGCTCCAGAGATGCTATTTCAGATGGCGCCACCACCGCCCCAGAGAGCCCGCGAGTGCCTGTTGGGGCATCGAGGCCACGTTCATAGTCTGCCCCACCGGACCACGTCACTCAGATGTCTGCTCGAAGGGGGAAGACTGGGTAACACCATGCAGACTGGCCCACAGCCTCCTCTTCCCACAGAGAACCTCCACCATCTCTCCAAACCACCCTGAAACAATTCTGCGATAGGATGACAGAGCGCATTTTAGACAGAAATGCTCGAACGCATTATTTCCCGCCGAGAAACTGGGGAAGAACTTGTGTTCAATGTGTAGCAGACGCTGTTCTCTAACCCAGCACAGGCTGCGGGTCAATTTAGTCAGGGAGCTAAGCGACCCTTGGAGACGCACCCTGCCGTCCTGCAGTGGTCCTTCAGGATGGGGATGGGTCCCTGACTGTGTGAACTGCCGTCAGATCAGGAAGCCCTGTCTCCTGGAAAGCAGAGCCCTTTGAAACTCGGCCAGCATCCTGCTCCTTCTCCAAAGACAATACAAAAGCAGGAATCGTTGTTAGACAGACAGCCACGTCTCTCTCCCATTTGCAGATATCAATCTGGAGGCAGGGGATGTTTGAATCTCACCAGGCGCTACAACAAGATGCACATTGTTTCCCTCCCATTATTTAAGTTCTGTCTCTTGTTAAAATGCAATTCACCACAAACCAGTGATCTGTCGCTCCTGAGTGAACTGAACAAGTCATAAATCAGGCCCTGCCTTCTTGTCTACAATGAATGTGAGTGCGTGAAAGAGAGATCTGAGCGGTCCTTTATTCTTTACTGTCATTAGAGCTCTACACGAATAGTAGGTATGCTGCTAATTCAGAAAAAAACCGACATGAGTATATGTCAGCTTACCATAAATCTATGCATGGAGAAGCTGGTTTTTTTCTCATGCTTAGAAAACATACTGAGTTACGGATTACAGAGCATGTTACAAAATCTGTCACGTCGCAAGAGGAGATATGGTTCGTGATACCGGGACTTTTATTTTCTACATTTACTCATTAGTGGCCATGCAGATAGGGGTAAGAGAAGAGATTCATAATAGAATAAACATGAGTAATGAGAAGAACAAAAGCTTCAACATTTTCAAGAAGATCTGGACCATGTAAAATCAGATGCTGAACGTCAATATGGATCCTTCCTTTCTATATTCTTTCTATTGCAACACCTACTGCATCAGGCTGGAGGTGCCTCATGTTCAGGAGTGACCAGATCATTAGCAGTTTCTTCATGTAGAAATATTTTTTGGGGCACCTGGGTGGCTCATTCAGTTAAGCGTCCGACTTCGGCTCAGGTCAAGATCTTGTGTTTTGTGAGTTCAAGCCCCGTGTCAA